GAGAGAGAGAGAGAGAGAGAGAGAGAGAGAGAGAGAGAGAGAGAGAGAGAGAGAGAGAGAGAGAGAGAGGGTGTTCAACATGCAGGCTATCGGGAAACGTCATGCGAAGGGACGTGAAGGAGGTTGGGAGGTGAAGTGAGGAAGGAGCAGACAGAGAAGGGAGACAGGAGGGAGGGAGTCAGAGGAGGCAGCCGGAGCTGGAGCTGGAGCTGGAGCTGGAGCGGGAGCGACATTGCAGGTGAGTGGGCAGGTCCACGCACAACTGTCTTGATTGAGGAAGTGATTTGGTCACTGGTGGCGGGAGTGCGAGGGGGACAGGGTGATGTGGCAGAAGGAAGGAAGAGGGAAAGAGAGAACGGGAAACGATGAGGAAGGAGGAGGACGAGAGTAGGACGGAGGAGGACGAGGGGAGAGGAGGAGGAAGGAGGAGGAGGGAGTTGAATGACGAGGACGAGCAAAAAATGGAGTGCCAGGCCAGGAGGAGAGAGGAGGAGGAAGGAGGGAGGAGGAGGAGGAGGAGGAGGAGGGGGAGGACGACAAGAATCACAAGATGAAAATAAAAAATCGCGTGCCACAGAGGAGGAAGCAGGACGAAGGGGAGAACGAGAGAGAGGAGGAGGAGGAGGGAAGAGTGAGGGAACGAGGGCGGGAGGAAGGGAGGGAGGGAGGCAGGCGAATGTGTGTGAAGTGCGTCCCTTTTTTTTACTTGCATTCTGGATTCGAACTTGGGTATGTATTCGTTTTTCTTGTTCCGTAAAGGGCGACTGCCTTGAGATATCATTGTCAACTGACTGTCACAGGTAATTCAAAATTTCGTTCATTGACAGCTGTCTGGATTGAAGCTCACGTCTGCATCTCAACAGTCCATGGGTATACCGACCGAGCTTCACCCGTTGGTTGGGTCTGTAACTGATGAGTGGAGACGAGGAGGGAGGAGGAGGATGAGTAGGAGGGATGATGATGATGAGGACACTTGGTTCTGACATCCAATATGCAATTCCACTTCTTGGGTGACACCTGCCTGCGTGCCACATGGCACACGATGGCAGGAGATAGGAGGAAAGGGGAGGGAGTAGGTGGAGAAAGGAGATGGAGGAGGGAGGAGGGAGGAGGTGGAGAAAGGAGATGGAGGAGGGAGGAGGGAGGAGGAGGGAGGAGGAGGGAGAATGACGAGTGGAGAAGGAAGGAGGAGGATAAGGAGGGAGGATGATGATGAGCACGAGAACAAGAACAAAAAAAATGCATCCCGATCTGCCACGTGGCACATTACAGGAGGCCAAAGGATTGAGAGGGGAAGAGGACAAGGAGAAGGAGGAGAAAGGAGGAAGGAGGAGGACGAGGGGAGACGAGGAGGAAAGAGGAGGAGGGAGGTGGATGATGAGGACAAGAAAAAAGATGTCGTGCCACGACAGGAGGAGAGGAGGAGAGGAGGAGGGAGGAGGGAGGCGGAAGGAGGAGGAGGGAGGGGGAACGAGGAGGGCGCGGACGATAAGAATCACAAGATGAAAACATTAATCGCGTGCCACAGAGGAGGAAGGAGGCCCAAGGAGGAGGGAGGAGAGATAACGAGAGAGCGAGGAGGAGGGAGGGAGGGAGGCGAATCATGCCCTTGGTGTGTTCCTTGTTCTTTTTTTAGGTAATCTGGATTCGAACTTGGGTCTGTATTTCTTTTTTTTCATTTTTTTGTAAAGGGGGACAGCCTTGAGATATCATTGTCCAACTTTTCAACAGTTCATGTGTGCACCGACTGAGCTACGCACGTGGGTTGGGTCTGTATTTTAACAGACGAGTGGAGACGAGGAGAAAGGAGGAGAAAGAGTAGGAGGGAGGAGGATGATGAGGACGAGACCAATAACAAAAACAAGCGCGTGCTGTTGTCCCATGTGGCACATGACGGGAGGCGAAAGGAGGAAGGAGGGAGGAGGAGGAGGAAGGAAGGAAGGCGAGGGGAGGGGAGGAGGAAGGAGGAAGACAGGGTTGGATGACGACGACGAGAAGAAAATGAAAAAAAATCAGGTGCCGCTGTGCAAAGACGGATGAGGTAGGAAGAGGGAGGAGGAGGAGGACAAGCGGAGGAAGGAGGAGGAGGATGACGAGGGCAAGAACAAGATGAAAAGACAATCACGTGCGGGTGTCCCACGTGGCACGCGAAGGGAGGAGAGAGGAGAGAAGAGGAGGCAAGAGGAAGGTGGAGCAGGATGAAGGAGGAAGGAGGATGATGATGAGAGCAAGAACAATAACACAGAAAAAGACGCGTGCCGGTGTGCCACGTGGCACATGACGGGAGGCAAAGGGAGGAGAAAGGAGGAGAAAGGAGGAGAAAGGAGGAGAAACGAGGAGGGAGGAGGACGAGGGGAGATGAGGAGGAAGGAGGAGGAGGAGGAGGAGAGAGGTGGATGACGAGGACGGGAAAAAAAACGGCGCGCCACGACAGGAGGAGAGCGGAGGAGGAAGGGGGAGGAGGAAGGGGGAGGAGGAGGAGGAGGAGGAGAAGGGGGAGGGCCACAAGAATCACAAATCGCACAGCGGTTCCCATGCAAGGGGGAGGATGAGGAGGCTGCAGGGCGGGAGATGGAGGGAGCGTCGAGCGTAGTTGGAACCTGGGATCCCCGCTAAGAGGGAGAGCCGTGTCGAATTTGGCTTTGTTGAGTGTAGAAGAGACGAATTTGTCAAGTTCGAGAAGAAGAACCTTAGAGGCCCTCGAATTTGCGAAGCACAGGCGTGTAAGAGCTTGTGGAGTTCCAGAAATATGTACTTTGCCTACTACATTGGTTTTGTATCCCGCTTTTTTTAAACCGACCCTCGACCCTTTCACCAGCGCTAGGAATTTCTCACAGGCAATCTCTCGTTTTTGATGATTTGCATGATAACGTTGTGATCTGGTTTTTGATGATTTGCATGATAACGTTGTGATCTGTTCAGGTCGAAACAAACAATGGTGCAGAGATTGCTAAGACTGAATGCGGAAAATATGGTCACACATGATTGCATATGTTCTCAGATAAAATAGATTATGCTCAGGCACAAGCATCTACTCCTTATTGAAGGATCTCAGGTGTCAAGGTGTGGGTCTCATTATTCAAAAAATCAACCAAAACACAGCCTCCTGATGAATCGATGAAAAACGCCGACGAAACAGTTTGTCGCAGCCCCTCATCTGTTTGTTGTCTTCCTCTCCCTCCCTCCCTCTCTGCCTGGGGGTTTACCGTTGGCAGCTCTGTTTGACGATATATATGCTATACCCAAAATGTAAAAAAAATTGTAAATGTCAGAAAGGTTCAGTGAGTGAATCATCGATTCAATCAAATTGGATTGAATTCTGTCTTGTAGTTGTTGTGGTGTTGCCGTAAGGCCCAATGAACACTTACTAGTGGACTTGCGGACACGGAGTGGGAGACTGGAGCTTGAGTGGAAAACCCAAACAAGATGCAGCACAACATATTCCGTTATTAAAAAAATGAAAAAATGCAGACTGCTTGGTGATAATGAATGCAAATCACAATTCCATGGCCATACTTGAAGCTAGTCAATTACATATATCGAGCGCGCACTCACACACACATACCTGTCTCTTATACACATCTAGATGTGTATAAGAGACAGCTATACCGCAGCCTAAGGGCTGCGAATAAATATTG